GATCATTTCAAAACTTCAACAAATCTGCAGTTCTACCCTCGATCCAGACCTTGACCGTACCTGGAATTACATAGAGACAAATCCTAGAATCATTGGTTCTTCAAGGAGAAAAGACCATTATTGAGTCCAACCTCCAATCCTGTGTGTTCAGAGGAGGCATAAAACCTCACCTCTTGCCCCCAAGCCAAGGTGGGCAGCTGCAGGATTCCCTTGATCTCGCTCCTTTCTACCCCCTGTCAGGCACATGGAGCATAGTATACCCTATACAGGAGACCCTGCCATCTCAGTTTCTCTTCTGGTGAAGTTGTAGCTTTCACTGCTGGATTGATTGGCATTCTGCTAACTGTATTCTTTTTTCCTGAAGGAATTCAGATTCCTTTCCTAGCTGCCTACATAAGTCTTTCCTCTAGACCATTTTCATCATATTTCTTTCTTAGTAATTTATCTTGTGTTGGGTATGCTGATGGGCAAACATTATTGTGGTATTGGGGTCTCCATCAACCCCCCAAAGAATTCATTTTATGAACATGTTTCTAAAGTATTTTTTCCTGTTGATAGCACTCACTGGTTACTATTATAAGTGTATCTGGGTTATTTCTTATAGTGAAATTTTTTTTTTAGTCTTTTGATATATAGACATATTCCCTGACACCCACTGGTCTCATCAACAAAGTGCTCTGAAGTTAACAGAGAGATGTTGAAAGTAAAACCTGAGTAGTAATGAGTGTGCTCAATCACTGGGACAAGCCCTGGGATACTCAAGAAGGAAGACATGCTACTGACACTCTCCCAGCTGTCTTTAAAAGATGATAGATCTGTAGAAGAATAACAAAAATACTCAGGTGCAGTTGTGAGAATTTGGTCACCCTAAGTCCTCTGGGAGGTGGTTGGGAGTCTGAGAGCTGGCTGAGCTAGAGGCCTGGTTTCATCTATCACCTTCAAAGCAGGCCCTGAGCGGCCTCTCCCAGGGTGGGCCGCACTGGCCAAACAGGCTGCCATTTGCATTTCTTTGTTGCACTGTTTGCATTTTGCAAGTCACCACCTGGTGAACCCCAAGGTAGAAGTTCATTAAAATATTCTGTGAGGCTGGGTAGTCCTCTGGCCTCTGGAGAGGGCTTCCTTGGCCCACAGGACTTTCTTCCAGGCTGTGACCTTCTTAGAGGCAAGCTCCAGGCAGAACCTTTGATCCAATCTGAGATGCTTCCATGTCTTCAGAGCCCCTCCCTCTTCTCCTTTACATCCCATCAGTTAAGCCTCCTTGGGCACACCTGTGCCACTCTAAGAAGTCTCCCTTGATTGGACTTTCTGGGTGAGAGAGAGTTAATTCTTGACTATTCACACCAGCTCGCAGCTGGATGGTGGTCTGAGTGGACGCAGTGTGGTAAACCAACACATCCATGCTGATGCATGCTCAGCACTTGACAGCAGAGAATTTTTTGTTCCCAAAGGCCTCTTTCTTGAGGGAATCAGTACTGACTCCCATGGAGAGGAATATTTTTCTTTAATATTTCTGTCATCTCCAGCTACTTCTGAACATATCTACATATGGACACCCCATGAAGTGGGGGGCCCCTCAGATAGTTCGTGAGATGTTTGGTTGAGTTTTGAAGATGTTTCTTAAAAGGTAGTTTAGTTTCATTTATCAAGTTCTATTTATCTGCCACCCCAAATTGTATAAAACTAGTATAAAAGTGGAAAAATTTTTATAAGATAGATTTTTTGAAACATGGTGATGCATACAAACTGTCAATAATACAAAATGTATGAAAGCTATTCTTATTCTTTTATATTCATATATTTGAAATATATGTTCTCATAAAATATATTTGGATCTGCCCTTATTCCAATTCTGCAAAAACAACAAACAATATTATAAACTTTTTAAATGGCTCATTTTTAATTTTAAAGTTGCCATTTAATTTAAATCTGCTTCAAAACTCTTAGGCAAACTCAAACTCTGAGTGTCAATTTCTTCCTCTGTGACTTGGAGATAACCAGTGAGACCTGCCTGCCTCACTGGATCTTCGGGACCAATGAGATACTCTGTGAAAGTACTTTCAAACACAAATGTCAGTCATTATTGATTTATGTCTTTGGAGCATCAACTGGGAGCAAGAGAATCACCATACCCAGGACTGATTTTCTTTCTGCCCCAAAGCAAAATATTCATGCCATGAGTAAGGCTTTTGTTGGAGCTGCAGTTCTCCAACAGCAGTCTGGTGAGATGTATGTAAAGAAAGAGATGTTAACATTTTACAGAAATGAAGCACAGTCTGGGTATTTTTATGCCTTGCAGAACTTGACTTTGTGTCATTAAAGTACTAAGATGTCAGAATCAGAATCTGGGCTTGGGATCCAAAGTTGGTGAACTGTGTCCTTTGGGCAAGCCATTGAACTCTGACCTTAGTTTCCTTATCGGCTGAATGACAGTGGTCTCAATGTGGACCTTTCCAACTCCAGAATGAGGTGATTTTTTCTGACCTGTAAAAGGAAAGAGGGTGATGGCTACACAAGCCACAACAATAGGACCTTCCACACTTTGAGCCCTAAGCTGTTAAAGTGTTTTGGCTCTTCTATCCTCACACCAACTCCCCTTGGCTACTGCTATTATGTTCCTGTAAAGGAAAGGGAAACTAAGACAACAGGAGGCTGGGTGGCTGGACTACACTCACAAAGTGAGTGGAAGAGCAGAAGAATGCACCCAGGCAGTCTGACTTTAGATCCATAACTTTGAACTACACCTCATGCTGAGAAAATTATTATATATACTTTACATTTTTGTTTATTTAACTTACCTATTTAAACTAGTCTACAGACATGTTCTTATAAGACATTGAAACTTTCCTGATAAAGCTAAAGTGCCTTTTGACCCTCTCTTGCCCATGCCAAATTATTCCCCAGTGGTAACCAATGATATGCATCTGGTGTGAATCTTTCCAAGTCTTTCTCTACACATCGATGGTAATGCTATATATTCTAATCATATACAGTATATTTGGGAGCATTTTTAGCCTATGTTGTATCTTGTTTTCTATGGTTTTTTTTGCAAGAAGCTTCACTTAAGACATATCATTCTATCTCTTCTTGGCACAGGGAAAGGAGTAAATGTAGTTCATTCTATGGTTGAGCTGCATGAAAGTGCATTTAATAAGTATCAAGGGTATCTCATCATTATGAATCTCCACTGTGCTTACTGGTAAGGACGAGAATCTCCTCACAAGACCAATGACCTTGCATGTTCATTCTTCTGTGAACTCTCTCTTTGTAGTCTTTGTTCAGTTTTCTATTGTTTGCCTTTTTCTTATTGATTGCTAGGAGCTCTTTTTTCTAGATACTGCTAACTTGTCTAATGCACATTTTGCAAATATTTTTTTCCTAGTCTGTTTTGTGTAGACTTTAAAAATACCATTTACTGAATACTTAGTAAATTTTGGGCCTTAGTTCACATTCTTGACCATTCCTGTGGCACTGTACACTGTGCATTATGCCCTTCTCTGGCTTTATAGAAGAGAAATGCAACATGCAAAAGATAAGAACTTTCCTCAAATTTCACATAAATAGCTCAGTCTTAAGTTTGAAGCCTGTCTGCCTGAATGCAGATTCGGTATTTATTTATTTATTTATAGTTATAGATGGACACAATACCTTTATTTTTATTTATTTATTTTTATGAGAATCGAATCCAGCACCTCACATGTTTGAGGCAAGTGCTCTCCCACCATTCTTGACCCCTTTCTAGTCTAATGACTCCACTTGGATAAATGCAGGGATTATTATTTTTTTTAAATCTCAGTCATTTTATAATAGACTATAAAAATAAGCTCTTTATTCCAACCAGTAAATTTGCATCTAGTTTCCATTAATGTCATTTGGCATGACCATGGGCAACAGGCCTAGGAAATATAAGTTAAACTGTACGCACCTGCTGGCAGGCACCAAACCTATTCACAGTGCTGTACTAAGCCTGCTGCAGTGCTGGGCCAAGGAGGTGCTAGGAATCAGTGAGATAGGGGGTCTGTCCCCGACAGGCAGAGTCCTACTTGTCTGGTACTGGTGTCCATGAGAGGATCTGTGTTCTTTCGTGTCTTTGGGAGTGTCTTTCCACCACTGCTCCACAACTGTGCCCAACCTGGCCCATGGGCTAAGTGCTGTTTACCTAGATCCTGTTGCCTACTCTGCCCTGTACTGGGTTCCCTCTTAGTCACCATTCACTGTTCCTCTTGGAATCTAGCAGAGCAGCTTTCAGTGTGCTGGCCACTCTGGTCCACTAAAGAAGCCCTGATGGAAATCAGGATATCATGGTCACGGAGCAAAGACGTATTTCTAGAGTTTGGCATTGAGTTTATTCTCAAGAGGCCCTCTTCCAGGTCATGCCCTATCCACCTCTTTGCAAACTCCATTCAGAATTTCAGAGGGGAGCATGACAGTCATCAGTTCCATTGCTGCCATGAGAGATTCCTGGTCACCTTCCTCTCTCTTTCAGAGTCAGTCTTCAGGGTGCTACCAGCATCTCACTGCTTTTCTGATGCACACTTACGAATCTACTTTTGGCAGATGGATAGCTATTTCCTCCTTGAAGTTGCTACCATGTACTTTGTTTTTTGTAACTTTTTACTCTCTTTTTCCTTTAAGTTACTGTCCTAGAGGGAATCAGCATGAATTCTTGACTTTGGACATGCCCTTGAATCTTCTAGCTACATGCCACTGGACAAATAAAAATGCCTGATGCATATAGGCTTTCTAGTAAATCATAATGTTTTCACTCTCTGGTCTCTGACCTCCATTCCTCCTTCTAAAATCTTTTTTGGAAGCAAGTATGTATTACATAACTCAATTGTCACCTTCTCTATAAAACTTCCCTTCAGACTCCCCCCAGTTCCTGTTTCCTTATCACAATTTATCACTTTCTTCCTTTGTCTCCCCACTGCAGGATTTCTTCTTCCTGATACAGCACTTTTCATATGATATTGTAGCGATTTGCTTATTTTTCTGTCTACCAGGTTAAGCCAGGAGTTCCTGAGGACCAATACTTCATGTCCTGATGCCCAGTATGCCCAACATCAAGCATGGGCAATTGGTTCTTGCTGGCTCCTTCACACACTGTGCATGGGGGAACCCTCCACCAAGCCTGCTGGACTGAAGGTACCAGGGAAGCTGGTTGGGCCCAAAGGTTGTGGGAATAGCCTGGAGCTGGGGACAAAGAAGATGTGGCGGTGAGAGAGGGCCTCAGCCAGTAGGGCTGGGGCGCAGGTGGGGTGGAAGAAAGAAAGTCATGGGAAATGGGCATGGGTTCTGGGGGAGAAAGTAGTTGGCAGTGGGTGGAGAGAAGGATGGATGCTAAATGAGTAAAGCTAGACTGTAGGAGGAGACTAAATGGGGAGTGGTCTGGCAGAGGCTGAAGGTTGGGGGTTCCAACATTTTTACTGATGCTCTATCCCAAGGAATACTGAATTTCAACTCTTGCACAGCCACTTCTGACATCCTCTCAAATCTTGTTTGTTATCCATAAAATGGGGTTACTCATTCATAGCTCTCACCCAGGGACACTCCTGGTGAGAGTTAAATGCAGCAATGTAACATGAAAAACCGTGGTGAGCAAGAGGGCTGCATCTCCAGAAGAGGAAGCCAGCTCTGAGTCTTAAACTGCTTACCCAGGGGTGGGGAGTCAGCACACAGCTGGGACCAGAACCCAGGTGCTGGTCCTAGTCAAGGCTCCCTCCCATCACATCAGCTGTCCCCAGGGGGAGTGAGGAATACTGGAGTTTCAGCAACATGAAGGAATTCTTCCTACACTTGCACACAAAGCCCACACTCACGTCCAGCTCTGAGGCAAGCCAGTTGGATGCTGAGACACAGGAAACAACCAAGCTATGAAGTAAACTGATCCAAGTGCTGAAAAGATAATTTGTCCAAAACCAGACCCCTGGTGAAGCTTCATTGTGTTATTTATTAGCTAAGAGCAGGAGTATGTGGAAACGCAGTGGTGCTGGGGCCATTAACAGAGGATCGCTAAGGTCATTACTGACTCAAATATCAAGAGTGAAGGGCTTTTACTCTCTAGAACTTCCAGCCCTTTTTCTGGGGTGGGTTATTCTTATATGAAATCAGCCAACTTTGGGAAATAATCTTTGCATTCAAATTTCTCAGGAAGGACAGAAGGAAGGAAAGAGGCACATGGCAGCCTCTCCCATAGGGGACTAGGGAGAGGTGCTTTCTACCTTGATCAGTTTCCTTTGGAGGCAGCACATGGAGGACCACACAGTCGCTCATCCAGCTACCCTGAAAACCTTGCCAGCAGGATCTGAACTTGGGAGAGGCCCTTCCTAACACCAGAAGGTGAAGGCGAAGGCGAAGGCAGCTTTTCCCTGAGGAAAGAGACAGCCTCAGAGTACACATAGCTGTGGCCCTTCAAGCCCAGAAGAGCGCTGGCCTTTGGCAAGACAACAAGCAAGGCTGGCTGGCCCTTGGGGCTCATCAGCACAGAACCAAGAGAACCCCCTGAAACATCTGCTGTTGTTTCCCAAACACACCAAGCCACATTGCCCTCATCTGTAAGATCAGGAGACACTGGATCAGGCCCCAGGCCTGTCTTGAGGCCAGCTGTAGTATTAGCCCTTGGGCTATTTGTTACAACAATAGAGGATGCTTTGGAAAGATACCAAGAAAGATATCAGGTTTGCTCTGGAAAGAGGACTGAGGGATGGCAAAAGGCACTGGAAGGAAATCTTCCAATGCACATTGATTTTTTTCTTCCTTTTGAATTCTGGGTTTAATGCATGTAGTTAACTCTTCAATCATAACTAAAATAATTCACATTTAATGTAAGATGAACAGCAAGTAGAGATTCAAGGGGCCTACCCCAGTCTGATTGAATCAGAATATCTAGAGAAGAAATGAGGCAGTTATTTTTAACCAGTTCTCTAAAGGTAGTTCTGATTCCAGGTTCAAGAACCACTGCCCTTAAGGACAACTCTTGCCTCCCCACTCAGGACCCCTGTTCTGTTGGTAAGAAAACTGAGCTCCAAGTGGGGTTCAGACTGGGCCAAATCACACAGCTGCTTAAAAACAGAACAAGTAGAATCCAGGTTTCCAAATGCCCAGATTTCAATAACACGAGCACCATCACCCTCAGCTCACCGCAGCCTCCCACATCTTTTTCTCTTCTCTGTATGAGGAAGACTTTTCTTGTCCCAGGCCCTTTGAACATCAAAACCTCTCCTTTCTTCAGCCCAACCTGATACAAAGTGATACTATATTGAAGTGGCCACTAATGTGTTAATGAGTCACCTCATGAAGGTATCTATCTGGAAACATCTGCAATAAACTACTGTGCTTTCCTTCTGTGAAGTGATAGTCAACAGGATACCTGCTTTCCCAAAATTCTATCCTGGAAGGCTGAGGAATAAAAGCACTGGACCGAAGTCCCTAAGCCTGGGTTCGAAGGTTTACCCTGTTGAAGTCATTCCCCAGACCACCCCCTCTCTCTTTCTCATTGAATCATTTCCTACATCTGAGAAATGGGAGCATTAGATTGAAGAGATTCAAAGGTCCTCTTTGTTTCTTAAAATTCTATTATCTGATCCCTGCCTATATTGTTCTTTTTTGTTTAGATCTATGTTTTAAACTTGGTCACTGGATGATATCATTGTGCTTTTGGAAAACAGTTCGTGGTATCACTGAAATTTTTTTTGGCTCTGAGTGCTGAGGGGATGATTTAAAACATTTCAGGACAGCAAAGGGTACCATTCAGGGCAATTTCAATTTTGATTGAAGAAAAATTCAAAATTTCAATTTTGTTTTGAAGAAAGAGTAATAGCAACCAAGCAGAAATAAAGATGAGAAAATAGCCTATTAGAATTGCAGAGGACCAAGCAGCCAAGCTGCACTTTAGCACAGATATACCTGACCTCTAGTGATTACTGCTCCTGCTAAGGGAGGAAAGTAAGATATCTGTTGGAGAAAGGAGTGGTGGAGAAGAGGTTCTGTTTTTCCTTCTTTGCAGGTTCCACTGTACCAACTGGAGAGGAGTCTTGATTTAAGACTTCTCTCCTGCTAACATGCAGGTGTTCCTGAGGGAGCAATACTTTTAATTCTTATCGGCCATACACCCCTGAGTGTGTATGAAGCTATCAAATCTTTTCATGAGCAGATTTTTAAAAATGTGATAATATAAACAGAACATAAAATTTATCATCTTAATCACTTTAAGTGCACAGTGCTGTGGCATTTAGTAGGTTCACATTATTGTATAACCTTCACCACTATTCATCTCCACAGCTTTCTCATCTTCCCTATATGCAACTCCATACCCCATGAACACTACCCCTCATTCCTCTTCCCACTTACCCCTGAAAATAACCATTCTGCTTTCTGTCTTTAGGAATTTGATGACTCTCACATAAGTAGAATCAGCATTTATCCATTTATCTTTTGTGTGTGTGTGTGTGGTGCTAAGCATTGAACCCAGGGCCTTATGCATGCAAAATGAGCACTCTACCAACTGAGCTATATCCCCAGGCCCCTATTTATCTTTTTATAATTGGCATATTTCACTTCACATTGTGTTTTCAGGTTCATTCATGCTTTAGCATATGTCAGAATTTTCTTCCTCAAAAAGGCTGAATAATATGTAGATGATTTGCATTAATATTATATTGTTATATTAATATTATATATTCATGTATATAATTATAATATCCATATAGCTTTGAACACCAGGAACATGACTCTAGTCACTTCAGGATTAGGTGAGTGGTAAAAGAGACCATTCAGTGTAAGTTCAGTTTTGATCAGAAGAAGAGTAGTTTCAGATTTCTTCCAAAGAAAAGGAAAATGAAAGGAAAAATATAATATATATATGTATATATATACATATATATATATTTCCATATATATATGGAAAAAATATACATACACATAGCACATATTGCTCATCCATTCATTCATTCATCCATGGATGGGCACTTACGCTGCTTCTGTCTTTGGCTGTTGTGAATAGTCCTGCTATGAACTTGGGTGTATACATTTCTGCTGGTTTCCTGTCACATGCATGTGTTGACAGGAGTAGAAAGACTGTATTTGGCAGGTTGGGTCATTGAGGACAAATTCCTCAAGTTCAGGGTTTCACACAATCTTCCATTGAGGGGGTCCTCATTGCTGTGGACCTGGTCATTCCCTGACCCTTCCAATAGCAGGTGGACCACCCCTTCCAACTCTCCCCCTCCAACTCCCCACCCCTTCCCCCCTCCCCCACATACAGATTCTCCTTTCTTCCCAGCACAGCTTGGTAGCTCTGTGGAATATTTTCTCCTCACAGTGCTGCACCTTCCTGCCCCCCAGCTGAGGACACTTATGCGTGACTCAAACCCATGTAAATAAGCACATCTCCCAAAGTCTTTTTAATGACCTTCAAAATTGGAAAGAATTTAATTGGAGGGTATGGGAACATCTACTGGAGTTGGATTTTAAAGGTTACCAAAACATTTCTGAACAATGTGTTGAATAGACAAGACTGAAACTGTGGTTTAGTTTCCTGAAAAGAATTCCTGACAGGCTTATTTATTACAAAGCCCTTGATATCGCTGAGGGCAAGTGGAAAAAAAAAGACAAGTGTTTCCAATATATATGTGGCTTTGGCACTAATTGATTTGTTATCTTTGAGAGGAAAAAGAAGGGGAAAAATGCCAAATCAGAATCCTGGGTCATCATGCCCCAAGCTGAGTCCTTAGGATTGAGTGGATTTCCAGTTCATTTTTTTCCTGGGTTTTTCAAGGTTATCAATTAACTCTGAGGGCAAGCCTTGTTTCTTATTTGCAAGAATAGCAGTTTTTTTGTGAGAATGAAACAAATAAGCAAATGCCCAGAATTGTCCTGGGCATTTTGTTTTGCTCTCTGCTGACGTTACCTCAAACCCTGCTTGGAAGAAGTTCCCATTTTCAACACCTGGCAAACCTGCCCCAGCTCTTCTCACAGTCACACTTTGTAGCTATGGGGAGGAGAGATGTTTTCCATAACATTCCTCTTTCAAGGGAGCCACCATCACCTTCCTGAGGACTGCCATGGTTCAATGTGAATATCAGATCTGGACAAGGTATTTCCATCCCAGAAAGAAGACAGGATGCTTCTCAAGTTTGGGGACCATAACAACAATAATCTAATAATAATCATCTCAGCTAACACTTAATTCAGCACAAGGTGGCAAAACCCTCCTCTAAATCAACATTTACCCACCTCACCAGTTGAACTCTGGTCCCTTCCCGCTACCTGTTCTTTTAAATAGAACAGATGCTGCAGCAACATCTTGTGTGTTAAGAAGCCTCTGGATCTCAGTGACTCAGCAATGGGGCAGAACCGACTGGACAGTGACATATGATTTTTAAATGGTCATTCACCTTCCAACTTCCCAACAGTTGCCAAGAGACTGGCTGCAGTTTCATATTCTGTCTCCCTTAATGCAGGGGTGCTCCTGCCTGGTTTCTACACAAGGACCACCTCCAGGAAACCTGAGATTTATGTCCTGGAACCTTAGCTCTAGTGAATACTGACTTGCTTATTTAGATTTATTCATTGCTATCATTTGTTTGAGCTGACAATGGGGGCCAAGCACTTTACAGGCTTGGTCTTGTTCCACCTCTTCACAGCTGCATAATTTTACTGCCCATTTTATAAGTAGGGAAACTGAAGGTTTGAATGGCTAATTTTTCAAGAACACACATAGAGTGGTGGAATACTTTGGGATTTCTTTGCCTATTGAGGAGCCTTTTGGTTTTTGAGACAGGGATCACTATGTTTCCTCAAACCCCTCAGCTCAAGTGATCCTCTCACCTCAGCACCCCAGTGCTAGGATTACAGGCCTGTAGCACTGTGCCCAGCCAAGAAGCTCTTTACCTTGCTGACAATCTCCCCTTTCTCAAATTAGACATGTCAGACCTGAACTAAAAAACTAACCCACGCGACATGTGGATGACTCCTTTACACACACCTGCTCCCCGGCCTTTGTCTGATAAGCCCCTGGACAGACACATCAAGTCTTCTCGAATAGCAGTTTGAGTCTGGGATCGGACCATGCTTCAGGCTGTGAATGTTTGCGAGCATCACACCTCCTCAGGGCTACCAGGGAGCATAAGGGAATTGTATTATCAAATGGCATCTGGATTTTATTCCATTTTACACAAATCTTCATTGTTCATTCGTGAACTTAACTTGGGAAATGGAGACTGGGACTTGGGCTATTCAGCAAACAGACAATTCCCTTTGGGTTTTCTAAACTCTGTCAAGCTAAGCACTATGGGTTCTTGTTCCTTGCTTCTCAGCTATCCCTGGGGGGGAGAGCTGAGAGCTGTCAGAGATACCAACCAGGAGGAACTGGGGGAAGCACAATATTTGTCTTATCTCTTTCCAGAATCAGACAGAGGTCTTCACAGGGTCCCCAAATCCCTGCAATCAGTTGCAGGTGGGGTAGGGACAGAGGGTTCCTCTTCTTCCCAGCTCAGGTGTACTTGAGTTGGTATAATGTTTATGATGCCCAGAATGTAAAATATGAAACTAGATGCACACTGCTGAAGACAGACTGAGGAAACAATATCATAAAGAAGTTAGGCAACTCAAGCCCACTAGATAAATAACATCCATTTCATGAGGAGGACAAGGTACTGCTTTTGAGAAACAGACCAAACAGCCAGGCCCAAAGATCCTGAGGCCACACAGTGCTTCTGCTCCTGCAGGAGCGAGGCTCAGCCTGAAAACCTCCTCCTGGCTGCGTAGATAAATGGCCAAAGGAAACCTTATCCAGGCAGTTTCAGAAATCTTATCCAAGCAGTTTCACACCAAAGGCTAAAAAGCAGGTTGATCTTCCTTTCAATCTGGCCAATAAACAAGTGACAATCAGATAGGTGACACAGCTAGGAATAGGGCCTCATGGGGCTCCAGAGGGGATATCCCCCTGCTCTTTCTCCCTGCTGGTCTCCACTGGTGAGCAGTGGTTATAGAAGACATTCAGGGTGGTACAGCCTGCTGGAGCCTGCACATCTTACAATCACCCTACAGAATGTCTAAACAATGCATGAAACGAACAGGGCCAAACCTGGGGTAAAGTCAGAATTGTATACACACCAGACCCTTGCTGGTGAGATATTCAGGAGATCTGGCCTCCAAGTGAAGAAGCCCTTCTCCAGGGTTTCTCAGAGAAAACCACCTAGGAGTGTCAGGGTCTCTTTGATGGCCTCAAAGCTGGGAGAAAGGTGAAGAATTCTGATGTCTTACGTACTGGCCAGCAAAGCAAGAGAGAGCATTTGGCTTTTATTTTTTATAGTTAGCTTAGAGTTGTGTGTGTATAGCTGATGTCTCAGGTCAAGAAAAGAACGGTGTCATCCATGGTGTGGCTTTATCTGCACACAGCTCTGTGAAGCAGGCAGAGCAAAATGGCCATTGTGATCCTAAGAGGGTAGGAGGTGGAGATTCATGGAGGTGATGTGATTTGTCCAAAGACCATCCTTATAAATGGTAGATAGGGAACTCCAGTGAGGACTTCCAATCCCCCTTCTGATCCTTTGGTGTACTGTGCTTTTCACTTTGTCACACTGATAGCTGGCACAATGGGCAAAACTGTCACTCTGGATTATCCACTGAGCAGACCGGGAAAGAACTACATTATCCTCTGTAAGT